TGTGTGACTCTAGAGCTAGCAAACTGAAATTTCCAAATCTTAATTCCAGGTCATGTGGGAGAAAGTAAACATGCAATCAGTTTACACGGTACTTAGACGAATCCTTATCTCTCATTCTACCATTTCAAATCCTCCCATTTTTTTTGCCCCAGCTCTGATTTTTTGCGGTTTTCCAAAGTTCTAGCAGCCAAGAGCAGCAGTACCTGACAAATGATTCCACCGATTTGATTAGCATGTAGAAAAAGTTTGGGCAAAAGAAAATATTCAGTTCCTTCGATATCCACAAACAGATAGTCGACTTCTGATAAACCGAACTCTGCGAGCAAATTAGCCATAGTTATTGTTGGTATTGTCTGCCATACATATTGCCCTTCGCTGTCCATCACCGAAGCATTTATTGTCCCACCAGTTTCGCTGATACCAACCTAAAATTCAAGATACTAATGTAACTTGCTACCATATATTTACATGTGTGGTGGCCAGTTCAAACAAAAACTGAAAAGGTTCAAAAGGATTACTTAAAAGGTTAGCCGAAGTAAGTAATTTTGGAGATTTGCCTTCCCAACTTAAATCCCCAAAATTACCACCCAGATTTGTAACAAATTTCGAAAACAATAAAAACAAAACATAATTACTAAGATTACCAAGATCGCTTGGGCTATCACTATGCTACTCCTATATGCTCGACCGGCTGTGCCTAGGCTGTACGCTTCAGTTAATTATATTGCACTTTTCTAGGCATTCATCGACAATCGGATCTATCCGGACTCAAAAAAAACAGCTGTTTTCCTCTTGTGATAGAAGAATCAAAAGCAAAACTAGCAAGGAGAAAAATTTTTTTAAATTGAATTCGACAGGCTAGCGCACCTACAGAGGCACAAAGTTGATCGTGCTCAAAAATCATTCAAAAACAGTTCTTAAAAAGTTAGCTGTTTGTGAAAAACGCTTCTTAGATGGTAGGGAATGGATCGAAATGTTTTGCCTGTTTGTACTGCCCTATCGAATCGAATATTTGTCCGGCATGGTACATTGGATCTACGCCATAGAATCGAGTATTGGGAAATGTTCGCTTGAGACGGTGCTCCACTGATAAATCGTTGCCGATCCCGATGGTAAGCGATACGGCACTTGCTTCCCAGTTTCGTGGCGGTATAACTGCCTTGATATCGTCCTCAAAAAAAAAACTTTCTTCAGGCCAAAAAGCACGCAAAAAGTATGTGCTGTCTGAGAAAACTGCTTCAGTCTTTTCGGCTTACCAAGATAAGATGAAGGGTGAGACATACGGTGTTTTTTTCTAAAGTTCAGGTAAATATTATTTGTATTCTGTACAAGACCTAAAAATATTTCTTCCAATTTC